AGGCTATGTGAAATTCAATGGAAACGTCAGCTCAACTCATATCATTGTGGGAAAACTCTACTACCAGTCCATCATTACTTTAGACGAAATAGGGTGATACATCTCATATTACTGATTTACTGGTAGTCTCGAAACTCTACTCTAATACTTAGGAAGTCGTTATTTAATTCAACTAAGAATTAATAGGAACAAAATAAGCTATCCATTTAGCAAGTAAGCAAATTCAGGATACCCTATTATACAACTTATTTTATCAGAAGGTGCGAGTATTACTTTTTACTTGGCTCAGGTTCGCAATTAGATCACATCGTCTATCACTAGTACATAGATTCTGACAGTTTAAATGTAAATTGTCTAAAAATCTGTCTTCTTGCATCGGTATGAAATCGAATGAAAATTTTCCCCTTGTTGGACGATGATAAGAAAGATTTATTATCGAGTTGTACAGAAGATCATAGGGTTTGAGCTGCAGAGAAAATAAAATACCTAAAACTTCTAAGGTAAAAAAGTCAGAACGAATAATAATACAATTTTTATTACTTTGCATATGATCATTAAACGGCAACCATAATAGTGAGATATAGAGGTGAAAAGAAAAGAATATTTACTATGGGGTCTTGTAAAGAAGATACATTTTTGAACTAAAAAGGTTCTAAATAAGAACTTTTTATCAAACTTAAATAGTAGATAAATCAAATAATTCTAAGAAATGAAGACCAAAATGTTATTGCCTCAATTTTGGTCGCAGTCTCCTTCCTTTATATAGAAGTAGTCTGACCTTGTTTTAGAAACTTGGTCGCGTTGTCAGAGTGACTTAGTTGGACGCACCTTGTCCGAAGTTTTCTGATATACTAGTTATCGTAATTCCCAGACGTTTCACCAGCATTGTCAGTCAGTCTTGTCAGTCTTGACAAAAAACTCTCAGTAAAGAATCAAGTGATGCAAATTATTTGACCTACCCACTGCAGAACGTTTATGACATAAATCGTCTTTCTGTTCTGGCCCCACTAATCAGAGGAAAAGGGATCGCAGGGAAGGAGCCGATAAGTAACTTTCGGAAATCAAGAGAAGACGTTTTTATTGAGTATTGTCTGCTCAAAAAGGCATCTACAATATTGGGGGCCTGGTGGTCACTAGATTAGAGGGACGGATAATCACAACCGTCACAGAAATTCGGCATTATAGGTGGATTAACTAAAAACCCACTCAAGGTAGAAGGCGAACAGAGGTAAACGTCCACAGTTTGAGGAACGATTAATTCAAGAGGCCCATTATAGTTCCTAAATTAGTAGTCCGCTATATGGACAACTATATGGCAAAGAAAACCTAGAGAATTTAATTAGTTTGATGAACAGGATCGATGTAAAGACGAAATTCACCATCGAGCTATAAAAGAAAGGTGGCTTACCTTTTCTTGATGCCCTAGTTAGCAAAGAGGGGACCAGATTAGATAGAGATGCCTATAGGAAACACACAAATGCAGGTTTTCTTTTGAATTTCTCTTCCAGCCACAGTTATGGGGTTAAAGTAGGAGTTATTAGGTTTATGATGATAAAGAGCCTGCGTCTGGTAGATGTCAAGCATCGGGACCAGTAATTGAGAAGACTAAGGAGAATTCTGTTTGAGAATAATTATCCACGAGGACTGGTTGACAATTATTTCAGAACATTGTCAAATAGGATGGAAGGAGATACATATTTGGGGCTAAATAAAAAGTTAGAAAACTCTACCAGAATCCTTATGCTGCCGTCGTATAATCTATCGAAAAAGAAAGGCGAATTACTAAGGCATGACACCTCAAGAGATTCATTGAAACCCAGTTTCTCTTCATATCTACATTTATAAAGAGAAAATATTATCTTCCCTTCGAAAGTATTCTGACCCGCTCTCCATATCAGGCTGCTAGAATAGTTAATGTTCATGCGGTACCGCCTATG